GAGCCTGCGGCAGCTCCTCAGCTGCAGAGACGTCACCTTCCCCCTCAGCTGCCGCCGTGCCCCGCAGCTCGCTCCCGGCGAGCTTCCCGTCGGACTCCTCCTTGCTCTGGCCAGACAGGCTGCTGTCCCCATCTCCAGGGAGGACTCGGACTGGAGACGGAGGGCACGCCGCTTCAGAACCCAGCGAAGACTCTTGCTCTTCTTCAGCGTGTCCTGATTCTAAAGACTCCTTCTAGGCAGCAAGTCAAACACAATTATAGCTACAACATTCTTTACCCCCTCTCTGGGAGGATGCAAGGGTCAGAAAAAGCACAGATTCTCCTACAGCCAGCAGCAAAATCGCAACGCTTTGGGTGACTTCGAGACCAGTTTAATTCCTTTTCATACAGTCCCTTTCAAAGACAAGGAACTTCATTCAGATAAACACGCTCACTTCTTGGGCTCAGACTGTTTTTCCCATCTGCTGCTTTTTGATTCACAGGGTCTCAGTGGACAGGAGTCAGCAGCGGGTGCCGCGGGGCCCATCGGCCCCTGGGAGCAGCCCACGTGCTCTGCAGGAGACCCGTTTATGCTTCCACATTGCATCTGTTCGGATGGAGATGGGCGTTTGCCAGAGACTATCACTGGGCATTGAACCACAAGCAGAGAAGAGCAGGCAGGATGCTATCGTCCCACCTTCCAGCGGGCCAAACTGGAGGGCAGGCACCGATTTACGCCACCGCTCCGAGCTCAGAACCAGCCTGTGACTAGCTAGGACACTAGGCTGAGAACTGGCAGCACCCACTGGCCTTGGGAAAAGCCACTCCCGAATTCAGGCTTCGGCACCCAAAGGTTGGACCGCCTCTCCCAGCAGCGGGGAGGCCCACACAACTGACAACAAAGCGTGCGAGAGCCAGGAGCAAGCAGGAAAAGGTTCCCTCATCAGTATGCAAACAAAGCTGCTAGCACGTCCTACTTTCTCGCTGTTTTATTAATGCTGTGGTGTCTTGTCAAACATTAGCTGCATCCTGTGTACAGCGTGTACCGTACACAGACCGCATATTTTAACGATGTATTTTTATCAAAGTGCAACTGGAACGCTGGCAGCCTTAAACCCGGAGCGGCAGCAAACCGGGAGCACGTCTCCTCGCACACTGTTTGTCTGAGAGACCTTCTCAGGGCCGAGCACGCCATCCATCAAACCAGAGCGGAGGACAGAGCAAGCAGATCGCTGGGTGCTTCCCAAAAACCTGCAGTTCGGAGCCTCGCCTGCAGTCCACCCAGAAGCAAATGGCAGCTTGTGGCCCCGTCGCGGCTCAGGGCCGGGTGAGCGGAGGCTCACCAGCACACCCCGGGATCACTACCCAGCACGCCAGGCCCTCGGTAACGTCTTTACCCCAGCACCCAGGAAGAGGAGGCGTTTCTTTAGCGTCGCTCCAGCGGCGGAGCCCGCGCCGTGCTTCCCTGCACCCAGTGATCGGGGCGTCCGGGAAGCTGCGCTCCCTTTGGGACCGGCTCGGTTCAGAGCCTCCCTGAGGACCTCTCTCCGGGACATCCACCGGTGCTCAGGAAGAGATCTGCCGAGCCAGACCGGTCAGGATTCGTACGCTGCGAAGCAGTACACAGCTATTCACCTTGGAGGAGCACAGCTGGCCACAACAGAACGCAGCGATGGATCCAGTGTGCACACAGGAAGATTCCTCTCCAGGCGAGTTTACCTCGGGTACTAGAATATCCCAGAATAGTTTCTGTAGCTGGGAGAATCCTATTTTAAATACAGATACTGACAAAACTTTTGCTCCCGTTACACCTTCATGACCCCAAATGCAGCCCTCGGGAAGGGGGAACTATGCCAGTCAGAGGCAGCGGCGGAGGGGGAGGCAGGGAGGCTCTCCTCCTGCAAACACAGACTGAGGACTTCCTATGGATCTCAGCGCCAGGACGAGCCGGCCGGGTTATAACTGGCTTCAGCCGATCTTTTCGCGAGCTGTGGCACAGCTCACCTGCAGCCGAGTGGCACTAACTGGTGACAAATTCCTGCCTACCAAATCGCTAGTTCCAGCGATCAGCACGAGTCTGGAGAAAGCACACGGATACCAACGGGCCCAGGCTTTGGAAAGGCACCTGGTCCAGAGACGAGCAGGCCGTCTGAACAGCAGCCACCAAAACCGGGTGCTGCTCCTCCCAGCCAACAGCGTGGCCGGGCCGCTTCTCTGGGCTTCAACAGGCTGAACGTGAGACATTACAATAGGAAGTTTCACAACCTTTCTACCTTTAAAACGAAAAAAAACAAGAGAAAAAATCTCACCCTGCCTACAGAACGCCTTGGAAAGCTGACGTGCTCGCCCCTTGCTCCCTGATTTCCGGCTGTTCTCGGGCACCGAAGTACAGAGGGGTTAGGTCTGCCAGACCCCATCTGTGGGTAGCATCTGCCCTCGGTTTTCAAGTTTACACCTCTCTCCTCGCATGCAATACTTTAAGGGAAAAAAAAAAAAAAAAGCCACTATCAGATCCACACCACAATGCCAGAAGCTGCCTACTGCATGCACAGCGTCAGCGACGTCACGCAAGCGGGACCGGGACGTCAGAGAGCCGCTCATCACCTCTCCCGGGCTGGCAGCCTCCGCTGCGGGCCTCCTCCGGCGCCGGGGATCAGCTT